AATGTTCTTCTTTTTCCATGGCAACTTATCTCATTTCCAAAATCACAAGGCAGATGCTAGTTCAACAAAAAATATAAAAATATAAGAAAATGATCTTATCATGATTCATTGTAAAAATAACATAATTATGGCCTTGTATGGCATTTTTCTTCTCAAGCAAGGCACACAGAGAAATGTAGAATGCTGCTGAGGTGTTTCAGTACATCATTCCCAACTGTTGATGAGAACAATTTGACAACACTGGGTAAAAACATAAAGTCAACAGAAATTAGAAATATGCTAATTTTAGTCTTTTCATTACTATAAAATTACCAACCAGCAGTAAAGGAAACCAATTTTCTTTAAATATCATCACATCATGAAGTATACACATGATACGTAACTGCTCATGAAGCTTGGACTGGTCAGAATTTGTATTCTTTAATAAATTCTCTTTTCATGGAAATTTGTGAAATGATACTTATCCAATATTTTGTCTCCACAGTTGAAATAATCTGACCTGGATCCCCATATTTGTGATTCATAATGACTGGGGAATAATTTGTGTGAACAGCACTTAATCAGGTCCATCAGGTCCATCCATCAGGTCCTGATCAGGTCCATCAGGGCTGCCTAATACCACTGAACAATTACTTACAGCTTATCACTTAGCAGAGAGACAGCATCTCCTTGCTTATTGCATTGCAGGAGGTTCATAACAAATTAAAATCAACAGGATCACAACAAAGTCAATACCTAGTAAATATCAATAACTGTAACATTTTGTAACAAAGGGAGATAACTGTACCATAGAAGTTATGACCAAGGCCTTATTATGTCTGACATGGTAAAATCATAGCTGAAGCATTCAAATTTTTAAAAATAACTAGATTATCACCCATATATTGTTTTATATGCAAAACCAGATCCTACAAAATGCTGATGCATATAAGTTGTGATTGATATGCATGATGAAAGTATTGCAATTGACTACGCTGCTGGGACATTTATCTTAAAAGACCTTAGAACTTCAACAGTCATACACTTATACTGATGATAAATATATGTGCTTATAACCATAAATATCCAAACCCAAAAACCTGATTTTAAAACTGTTTCACTAGGAACTGAAATACCTACTGACACTTCTCTCTATTTAAACATTGAATTAATTCACAGGCAGGATCACCAACCACAGCCAATTCTAAACCTCACAATATACAGTGTACAGCATGTTCAGTTCATTATGGTTCAGCATCTGAATCCTACCCACAAATAAGCTCACGTTGTTTCACATTATCTCTCTAACCGGTGTGCTTTAGCCTTTTAAACTCCAAGCCGAGCGGCAAGACCGTAATATTTGTCATTTTGGGGATTTTCTGACATTTTACAATTACATATAATTTACGGACACCAATAGCATGCTTAAGAAACTGTTGAGACAATACTTGTAGCGTGTTGATTTCACTTCTGTTGGTTCCAGCTAGGGGTGTAACAATAAACATGAGAAAAGGTAGAATTCCTATGACAATACTGACTTTACCATACAATATGTAGTACCATACAGATTTCACAGACCTTAACTACATACTGATTCTAAATTTATTTTCTACTATTCAGGACGTTGTCATAAACCTTGAACTGTATAGTATATGATATGTCCAAAATCTGATGCTAATTCAAAAGGAATTTACTATTGTTACCATACACAAAGCAGTATAAAATTTCTTACTTCTATGGATGGATAGTGTCACCTTTAATAGTCTTGAATACCACATTTGCTGTAAAAAACACTTCAAATATTAAAATATTGTCAGGGCGGACACTCATTAAAACTGCAGTTTAAATGAGAATGATACTAATGTCTATTTATAAAGACCCTTGTGTTTTCACACACTTGTGCATGCTCAAGGTGCTAACACGTTATTACACCGGTTAACCCAAACTAGAAGGTTGACAGTCATAGAACTTAACCCACCAGGTACCCATTTATTGCTGGGTGAACAGAATTTGTTGTTAGTCATCCAGCAGTAGTAGCCAGCTTTATTTCAAACATTGACGTAAATAAAAACAATTTGATAAAAGTTTCTAAGCAATCATATAACCCTACCAATCAGCTCTTTTCTATTAATGAAAATCTCTAACGTACACATAATACAGGCGGTCATGTAAATTTTCAGCTGCTGTTATTAGTAAATTTAGTGTCATAAAAATGACATACAGAACATTTTACAGGTTGCTCTAGGCGATTAGAAGAGGAGCAGGGGCTTATTTACAGCAAATACAGTATACAGATCATGTTAGGTGACACATACATTAGATGCTACAAAAGAATTTTTAAATGACAAATACAGAAAGGTATAGTCCTTGTATTGTGTACATTCCATAAGCATCATATAGACAATTACACCCCTAGTTCTTACATGAAACACGTCGGCAACGACACATGCGATCATAGTCTAAGGGAGCTAACTCCGAGTACCGATAATCAGATGAAAAGTGTAAACAATCAACGTTAATTAAGTTACATCCATATTTCAAATCTATGTGCTCTGGAAAGGTTAGAAAACTGCACATTTCACTAGATACAACCGTAAATATTAACTGGTACAATACTTAAGTTGTGTAATACTTGAATGACAGTGTATTATGTTCACTCACTCCAATCGTGTTACTACGAGATAAGATAGAAGGTCCCTCTTGCAGAGACAAAATTACTCACAGATTTGTGCAAAACATTATCAGGAATTTCACAATACAGATTAGTGATCTATATAGATATTTCTCATAAGAAAACAAACGTAGAAGAAAGGCAACAGCTCAGAAAGCATTTTCACTTAACTCTCCTTTTCAAATCAAAGTCTAACTTGATTAATTTCTAAATACATCCAAGCTGTATTATTTCAAATGTTATGTTATCATCATGACATAACCATCAATAAAATGACATTACTGAAAAACATGAAGAGGATTAAACATGGCCTAATTGGACAGAGAAAAACATAAAGAGGATTAAACATGGCCTAATTGGACAGTGAAACAATGTAAGGACATGCAGTATTTTTTCAAGAACGTCTCCCAAACAATTGTGGAATTTCACACATGAAAATATGAGAGATATGAACATATCTGAAAGTGTATTTCTAGGTTAGTAATTGTAATTTAAAATCCGGTTCCTGAGTCCCACTTTCCTGTCATATGTGACGTACAATACAAACCACTCTCGCTATAAAGCCAGCACACCATAGTAGATCTTGTATATTATAACATACACAGGAGCAAATTGGTCAGCACTAGGTAAATATCACAAAAATAAAGGATCATTGGTTCTACTTTATAACATCACAAGTAGATATAACATGTCATAATAAATAGCTACACCTACCAGGCTTACACTGGAAAATGGTTATAACGTAGGTGAGCAGAAAATAGTGTATATGTGGGTAATATTGTGAATGATGTCATATTTATCATATACAAGCATTGGCAAACAGTGCTTTTGTATAGTAGTGACTAGGTTTCATACTGGTGGTTAAGCATGTGTAAAGTGGAAATTACATGTAGTTATGTGGTACTATCATCTGGGTGTATATTTTTTAGATTTTGTGTGAAATATGTGTAACTATTGTGTCTTTCAATGTTTATGGCTACTAATACTATAGGTTCAGTAACTGAGACGTTCCACACAATGACTACATCACATTAACCATTCCAGTATTTTTCACAAACATATCTTGAAGTGAAAACTATCCTTCACAAATCACTGATTTTTCAAAATATTCAATACTAAAATCTCATGATCATACAAGAGTTGAAAAAAAACTTTGACAAATTTTGATGTAATTAAGAAAAAATATGGATATGTTTCAAATTAAATCAATTATGAATTCCATGAGAAAAGGGCAAATTAGAATACCATTTTCCACAGATAAAATATGTTAAAAACTTCTAAAAACTTGGCCTAATGCAATTCATTATATGATGATCAAAATAACGGCTTAATACCGGAAACTACAATTTCATCAAAAACTCAAAATATTCCTTGAAGAATCTGAACTGTGCATTCAAAACATATAATACTGACTGACTCAAACTCGCCTAAACAGGCCTTGTCCAATACACATATATGACCCAAAAACCATGACCCCTTGGACATGCGACCTTTGTCTACATTGACACCATACACTGTCAAAATAAAGCTCCTAATGAGTCAACAGTGTCGAATAAATGAAACATAACCATTTCCATTGCACTCAAAGAACATTAGATAAAAGCTGGTAGGTAAAATAATTTTATAGATATATATGAATAATATATATTTGAATTGATTATACAACAAGGTATCACAATCATATACGAGGTATAGAATAAGAATTGAATCGAAAGACATACTGATTATATATGTAACACTTTCTAACACTGTAAATGCTATGTGATTCTCATTCTCTTCCCACAGAGGTTACTTGTCATATCTTCCTACGAACCTCTGTTCTAATACGGCCATATTTCCCGCTTCTCGTAAAATCCCCTAGCGGCAAAAGATCGCAACACAAATTATCTCCCTTCTTTCTATCCAATCAGAACACGTGTTACATCGACTTAGATTCAACTTGACTAACACAAGCAAATGTGAGGCCACAAATATCCCCCATCTGCCGGGGACTTGTGTTGATGTTACACACAAGATGTTTAATGGCTAGCTTGTCCGTTGTCAACGAGGGCGATGGAAACGCCATGATCCGCCATAACATGACTGAGTTCTGTTTAGAAGAAACGTTTGCGCATCGCGCAGGGGAAGATGTTTAGTTTTCTCGAAGTATACGGAAATTACAGAGGCCTTGCAAATGATCACTTTTGAAACAACGTCGCTGATTGCACAACTAAATCTGATTGCCTCCAATCACGAGTCTTGAACGCTCACACCATGAAAGGGCCGTATTAGACTGACTGACTGACTGAGTTTGGCAATATTCCAGCAATATTCCAGCAACATCACGGCGGGGGACACCAGAAATGGGCTTCACACATTGTGCCCAGGCCGTATTAGAACAGAGGTTACGTAGGAAGATATGACAGGAGTAACCTTTGTGGGAAGAGAATGCGTGATTCTTGGCTTCTTTAGAAACATGGGACACCATACTTTAGTTTCACTATGCTTATAAAATATACTTTTTAGCAGTATATTGTTTATCAAATGTTTACTGAAAAGCATTAAATTACAAGGACTGTTAAGGAACATGTTAAAAATTTTCTAAGATTAAAATTGTCTGTATTTCCACAAATGCAATAAACAGAGTCTCATAAAATCTGTTTACATATTATCTTCTTCATGTGTTAACATGGAGATATTTGATTTACATGGACTGTATATATCAAGTGTAATTTAAGATTATTAATCTCAGTTATTTCCACATGGGTAATAAACAAACAAATTGATATGATAAGTAAAACATGATTGTTAATGTTTGATTATTTTCTCTGCAAATCTGTCATGATTGTAGCCTCAAAACATGTATATCATTATGAGCAAACATTCCTAGTTTCTTCCCTGTAGTGTACATAATAATAGATAGCATTATAAAATAATATTCAGTTTAGTAAACCTTTCATGTATTCCATATTGTTAAGCATGATCGCTGTAATTAAGATGGCCCCAAAGTAATACACATTATCTGTTTCATCTGAAACACAAGACACAAATTGTGCTACTTCACTATGATTTCTAGTTTTCAGAAATCAAATTTGTTAATATTGGCATTTTAAGTAGAATGAACAATACAGTCTAAAATACCTCCACCAAACACCAACAGAGCATAGTAATGGGCGCCAGAGTATGCTCAAAGCAGAAAAAAAGTAACCATACTGTATGAACTATCCTAGGATCCAGTGTGCTTACAGAGTCCTTTAGCTTCAAGATATTTTTCTTATATCATGTTTCTGAAAAGTAATTTAGTTATGAACAATTTCACAGGTGTTTTATTAGAAGTCTGAACTTTCCCAATTTCTGCTGCTCACTCCAACCTGAATATGTAAACTTTGGCAGTGTTGTGTGTTCATTGCATTGCTGCTATAGGATGAATCTGATATCTTTGGCTGTCAAGACATAGATTTGTGATGTCAAACCAGGGTAATTTCTGGTGTAAGCATTTGGATTGTATTGAGAAGGCAAGATGGAATAGTTAGAGAAATTTCTCTATTTGCTGCACTAAGCCATGCAGCTGGTAATAAACAGCTTCATTGCGGAGTTCCTTCAGGACCTGTCTGCTCCTAGGCAAGGAATCAACCGTCACTCCACCGTCTCGCAAATAGTTGAGGATGTGGCGAAAGTGTGTGCCGTCACGGTCAATAAACACTGTGCCATCCTGCTCCACGCGTATCTCATGGCGTCCACTGAACATGGCCGCCAACATGGACTCAGCATCACGGGTCAAGGTCAGCAAGGATGTCGTGTAAACATGGCCGCCCACATCAAGCTTCACACGCCCCTGAAAATAAAACCGAATCATATGAAATATCGACATATCAAGCATCACAATTTCAGTATTTATCTCCACACAAAAAAGGTATATTTCCATTGTATTATCAGACATTTTAATTAAAATTGTTCTACATCTATATACCAAAGTGAAATTCAGACAAAATTAAACATGCTGACATTAGCACAAAAATGTATATATAAACAATATTACAGGAAATCAAGGCATATGGGCATCTACAAACATTTACATAACATCTGACATTTAATTTAATCAAAAAGTTGTAAATCAAAATATGTTACACATAACTGAATTTTTCATTACCAATCCAATACACTCTGATGTACATTCAGTTGACAGAGACCAACATATGGCATAAGGTCCGGTTAGTAGTAAATATTCAAGCTCAGTAAGCCACAGCATTCCTGCTGAGCAAAAATCAATGCCTTAGAGCAGTCACAGCTGTTGAGCAGACATTGTATGTGTTATTGTGCCAGTAAAAGGGTGCTGCTTGGTACACAGCTCTTTAATATATTAGCCATGGAAAAACTAATTTCATTTTCTCAGATTTTTATTTTATTAGTGTTATTATTATCACCTTTCATAATTTGAACTGAAAGGATATATTTTTAAATTATCTGTATTTAGTAGCCTTCAAGATCAAGATTTCAAAGATGATATTTTTGTGGCAGTCCTGAGGGATGGAACTCTGCGCACAGCAGTGTCTCAGAAAACTGTTGACACCCCCACCCCATAGTCCCTTTCCATTGAACACATATATCAACCGACCATAGACAAGAGATCAAGGCACATGCTGACTTGAACATTTGTTCCCGGTGACCTAATGACTGCTCCTAGAGAACATAACACTATTCACTCTTTCAAAAAAATTAATTGTGAAAATGTCAAAAGAATAATTTCTCAGAATCCTTATGCCGATATTGTGTACATCAGTATATTTTCTGGCTTACTATGTAACAACTTACTTGACCTATACAAAGTGTACGAACAGTTGCACAATCGGAAACATCCTATACAGGAAAAGATCGACGAATCGCAGTGCAGTGTGAACAATAAAATCGGTAAAACACAATATACGTGTATCACCAATGTACTGTTCACTGTTGATGGTGGCTGAAAAATATACGTCATTAAGAGCATGGTATCTAGAAAAACATGGATGTGCATAAAGTTGTAAATCTGCAGTGATCCTAATGTCTAAAGTTGTATGAGCAACGGTCACCATCCGCATCGATATGATACACACACATGTAATTCCTCTCTGTTAATATACTCTCTTATGTAGAGAGGAGGTGGTATCTATTTTGAGGTGCGTATTAAGGTCAACATTGTAAACATTTCAAACAATAACAGGCTGTGACCTGTCACAGATTACATCAACAACGAAGTAACACATATTATATTTGGGGTTACTGTGAAGTCATCAACAATGATGTTCGAATTATGGCCACAGCGACATCTGCCTTACAAAGCCAATGCTGTCAGGTGTATGAGATCATACATGAGCTTTGTGTGGATTTTCATTTTAAACTTGAATGAAAAGGATATGGAAATGTTGAAGTTCATATTCCAAGCAGTTTCACCACATCATATTTCATGTTCAAATCCAACTTCATGAAATGTTCCTAATGTAGGGAGGAAAGCATCTAACATACTACATCTTCAAAACCCAAAAAATTAACCATTGTCAACTTGTTTTGTCAACAATAAAGATAAGAAACAAAGTCTGTTACCTACATGTAATATTTGACACTTTGTGTATAGTGTCCAAATATATTTTTATAAAACAAATTATCTTGACTGTGACAGTTTGAAAATGATGCTGATACATTATGAATTTATCAGTTTTAAAAAATACTTTAAAAATATCTGGAGTTGAAAAAGTATTGACCTTCCTTTTTGTAACAGTACAGCAAGAGTATCGTATAGTAGTGGACACTGAAATGATGGAAAACTGCTAACTTCTCAAAACAAGAACTTACCTTAACAATTTTGGTCTTACCTAAATGCTGATAGCTGATGTTCATTCCTATATACAAAAAAACATTAAGCAACTATCATAAAATCATGATACCATAAGTTATCTGGAATATATTCAGTATCTATCTTGACCAAGCTTTTGAAACAGTTCAAAACAATATGTTCAATACAGTGCCAAGAGCTTTGTTGAATTGACAACTCATCATGCTTATCAATGAAGACATGTGTATGTACATGACTTTGTTCTTCAAATGTGAGGTTTTAAAAAAATATTACTTCTCATTGTATGAGAACGCAATTGAAATTTAACCATATTGTTCAGATATCAATAAATTTCATGAATGTGTGTCATGACTGTCTTTGAAAATGATTTGAGAAAGTTACCTTAACCAAGGATAGCCTTGGATTGTTCAGCAATAAGGGCAGCAATGCAACCTCATCGGCGCCTAATGACTTGATTCTGGGGGTAATGACCAACATACAGGGAACTCTTCCTTAGATTTGACTGATAAAGTTTAGGCAATCATTTCCCTGCCAATCATTCAAATGTGTTCTTTGTACAACGGTGGGTGTTGGGAAGTGTGATCTGAATCCACAAGGACAAGTAGTAAAGTCCACAACTAGCTGAGCATCTTCACAACTTGGGACACACCGACTTCACAAACGTGGACACCTTCCTGGGTCTCTACATAGGTTCCTCTTCATCTTTGGTCCTCAAGTCTTCAGAGCTTCTTGAAGTTTCATCTTATTCATTGCAACACTGTTATTAGTGGTGTAATAACAGAACTTATCACACCTTTGGGATGTTTGATATTATATATATCAAATGATATATATTCCTGGAATATTTGGTTATGCATAATGCTGCCTGGAAGCTGATTCCCCCAACATATATAATCCTGGGTATCAATGGGAAAGGCATGATTCCGTGTACATGTATTGAAGTTCTCCATCGACACTATTATACACCATGTACACACCCAAACAGCTATCTCAGTCAGGAACCCATCCTTGTCTTAAATATTTCATCTCTGTATTGTCAAGACTGTTATAATCAAAACTACAAGTGTGTCAGACACTTTGCTTGTGAAATCTGTTAGGTATTTCGATACAAAGCAGTTCAAAATCCTGTAAAACCTGAAACATTAGGTAAGGTCAGAGATACTGTTGTAATATTGCTGTGTCACTGCAATCCGCACACTGAGACATATTCACAACCTTGGATAACAGTACCTGGGATAACAGTACATTGGACAAGGAAACATCTGTTTCAATAATGATGATGACACTAATACATATAGGTCTGCTATAATACTATTTATCACCCAGCATTAACTACATGAAAATCTTGGTGACGAGTTGTATATGTAGTGCTTTAAGTTCAAGTGATGACATCAATAAGATTTGGCATTTAAATGTTAATTTCCTGGTTTGAAGATCTAGTTTGTCTTGTTTGTGACTAAATGTCCTTGGACAAATATTCTCAATAAATTATTCATTCTGTTGTCTATTAATTAATGATGTCGAAATGTACTTAATATGCATTTAGTAAGACCTACTGTGATGAAAAATTATCTGTGAACATTTTTTGACTGGTTAACAATCATAAAAAATTGTTTAACAAAATACAACTTGATGATATATACATTTTCTTGTCACAAGGTTAACAATGAATTATTTTCATTTCAAACCTCATGTTTCGATAGACTATCAGTTTTACCTGAAGTCATGGGGATGCATACTACAGAAATGATCCCTAAAAGTATGTAGGAAACAATAAGGAAAATGAAAATGTGTCAGTGAGTGTACAGTGGGTTTGCAGCAACAACACAGTCAAAAGGTACTGAAGCTCACCTCAACCTATTCTTACATTCACAATAATTCAGATAATTTCTTCCTTGAAATCAAGGGAATACATCTCATCATGCTCACAAAGGGTGCACATGTGACATATCTTGACACAATGGCCATATTCATTGGGTATTGACCTATACATTGAAACAAAGAGTGGCTGAGGAATTAACCAACTACCTGGCAACTCAACCATGTATTAGACCAACCATCTGTTGCTACCAGCTGGGATCTTACATTCATATTTGCTGTATCACCCAATCCAAGACAACTACATAAATATTAGCAGAAGATTTTGATGCATACTACATCAAACATTTTCACAAATTTCAAATGATACTTTCAAAAGGGTTTGAATAATAGCCAAATTTCTTTAAATATCTGCAATGGAATCAATTTCTAAAATTTGATAAAAACATAGTACCACCTGGAACATACACAGAGAATTTTCTCTTTTTATATTGATAGACACATCATTAATACAATATCAGAATTAGCAGGTTTTGAAGAACCAATGTCTGTTTTTCACATCTGTTTTTATTTGCCTTGAGGATTTAGAGGGGATGTGCCAATGCAATGGTTTATCATAATTAGTCAAGATCACAGAGATCAAGGGTCACAGCAGGATAAGTCTGGGTAATTAATGATTTAATATGAACCTGTTATTACTCAGGCTGTTACGATTCACTCGCATATTCGGTGAATCGAACTGTAGCCCTTCATGAATTCAATTCGTTATTCGTGGTCACCAGAACCGAATATTAATGAATATTTACGAATTTTTTAAGGGAGTGTGTTTTACTTGAACCATTATGTCCTTTTTCAAAGTGAGATATGCAAGAATGGAATATGTACTAGCCTTGTAGTAGCACACGGTATGTTAGTTTGCCTGAAGGTCGCGCATGGTACTGTTGACTAACTAAAACATACCAAATTTGAGTGTCATGAGATCACTGGTTATTGCTGTGACAAATTAACACTATCAACATGGGCGTTCCACTTTGTGCATCAATCACTTAACTACAATATTGTATTCATGAATAATTATTCGTATTTGTTACCCAATATTCGTGATACGTATCATATTCACCAAATAGTGAATTCGGTGCAGCCCTAGTTATTACCTGATTGAAATACTAAATTTACTGTATAAAATTTACAAGGACAAATGCAGAAATGGCAAGTACTTGGCCAAAAACCACTGCTAGCCATATTTAAGTTTGCCTTGGCCCCAAAGGAGCATTTCTGAAAGACACCTTTTTCAATATGACCCAAAGGGTGTAACAGTGCAGTCCTTATGGCAACGAGTATGTCAAAAATGTATAAATTCAAACTTGACAATATGTCATGATATATGCTCATTAACCTTCGGTTCAAATGAGCTGAAATATACTCATCTCAATTAGTCATGTGTAAAAACATTCATCAGAACTCATGTTTAACTAGTCTTGCTCAAAAATCAAACTGATACACATTGTCCTATTTGTCCACCATATTTGAGTGTGTTTCCTTCCACACATACACTGAAATGTTTACCTGCAAACCATCGACAACTGATCGATGGTTAATTCTCAGTTCACACTCAGGGCTGACAAATATTCCTTCATTTCCACAACAGAAACCATTAGAATGCTGGTGCTAGGCATGCAGACACTAATAATGGTACCAATCCAAAACACCATACAATACATTAGAAGATGGTATGAACCGTTGCAGCTCACTGGAACAGACTTACCTTTTGTTTTTTTACCAACATCCTGCTGTTTGGGTGTGAAAACATCTTATTGTATATATAGATATATAGATTTATTACCTACGAGGGCGAACATATCGGGGTTCATATTTTTCATACCAAGCCCTAGGGCAAAATATCACTTTGTCATGGTAACGTGACGTCATGAACAAGGCGTTGCGTTCTACATGCGGTGACGGCGGGTCGCCAGCCTATGTTTGGAAGTACATGTGGGTTTATTTTCCTCATTTGGACGACTTCGGTAATAAACAGAATATTATATTCGTGCCCATATCATACTATGTTTACGACACTCATGCCTAAATATCGGTATATCCCTCTCTCTCGCTCGGGGAAATACCAACATTTAGGCACTCGTGTCATAAACTTGGTATGACATGGGCACTCATATAATATCCTCTCTCTCTCCATATATTATATATATATATATATATAAGTGCAGCAGATTAGCTAAATGTGTGTACTGATTACAGTAAATAAATGTCAGATCACTAGATCCAAGTGTGATATCAGGGGAGGGTTCACTCATTGGACCCATGTGGAGAAATGAACCATTTCATTCACAACAAACCTTTTAAACTCGATGCATTTTTTTCCATCTGATCCAAATGTTGCAGTCTGATCACCTTCTTAACAAGACACAATCAACTATGTTGATAACGAACACACATATAATGTGACTTGCTGTCTAGTTTAGTTGAAATGCATATTAGAAACTAAAATTTGTGGTCGATTTTTGTTAGTAGTTCACAGTATACACTTGTGGTGAATATTACAAACCTTACCTCTGTCTACTTTATCAAGCATGGCGATAATATCTCAGAAACACCAAGGATCCAAATCAGAAAATAAACTGCATGTGACCAGTTGCAAGGTCTCTGACATGGAAGTGTAACAGTGTTCGAACTTTGAAAAGATTCAGCATTTTCTACCATGTCTAGAATTGTTTATATTACCAGGGTCAACTGACGGGCTCTATTACTTATTATCAGCTTTTGATTCCCAACAATCTGGTATACAACTTACCTTTTGCACTATGTTGGTCTTCAAGAATTCCTTCTTACATGTTTTTACACAGAAAGCACAAATAAATATGGTGACAATAACAATGAATAAGCAGGTACAATGAGTTAGTAAATCTACCCTACTGATGTGTAATAAATCACAGGATGGAAAGAATAAATCTTGCAGGATAAGCTTTCTTTAAAAAGAAAGATTTTGTAAGCAATGGGTGAGAAAGATAACTTGCAAAACCATTAAATTGAGCTAAGGAATTCATAAATTTAGTTTTTGTTCCTTTACCATTTTGTATATCTTGTCATCTTGAGATCACATTGACACGTTTTATAAAGAAATTATACCATAACTAATCAAAGTCCATCCAAAGCTCTGTCTAATGGTTCAACCAACATCCTACCCTGCATAGCAGATATAAAACCCAAACTTGCAACATCCCAAAACAGACAGAGGATGAAGATGAGGAGGACTCACTTTCTGTACATCATGGAGCTCTTCCATGCGTGTGATCTCATCCTTGAGCTGCTGCCACTGACGTGCGATTTCCATCCTCTCCTTCTCGCTGTCCTCCACCCATCGTTGCCTTTCCTTGGTGAACTGGTTCTGGGATTCCACCAGCTTCTTCTCCTTCACTTCCAGGTCCTTGGTCCTGGCTTCCAGTTCCAGTTGTAGCTTGGTCAGAGCCTCTCGACGAGAGCTCACTTCTCTGTGTATTGTGCTGATCTCACTGATGCGATCCGCAAGGTACTTTTCAAGTGCTTCTGATACTGTTTTGTAGTCATTTTTCAAACTGTCTTGTACATTCTGAAGAACAGTTTCTGAAGGAAAACAGTAAGTAGGTTTCAGCAAAATGTAGCGCACATTCAATCTAGGCCTAGCAGTACTCTTAGTAACAAGATACAGTTTCAAAGAAAGGAAGATACATGGAGAATTTAATAGTGTAGGTTAATCAAATATTAGCTTCTTAGATTAAGTTGCGACAACCTTTGATCAAAATGGAAGGTGATTTGATGCTAGTGTTGCTTTCCAGTAGACTGATGGAATTAGATGAATAAGTGCAGCGGGATTAAATTCCTTCGGATGAATTTATTGCGACACAAAAGTAAGTTGAAAATATGAAAAACGAAAACAGAAGAAGAAAAATGACATCTACAGTTGTTGAATCAATGTTGAATCAAATTTGGTCAAGGCATCTTTTTGAGCGTTTGAGTGAAATATTTTTGTACAGTATAAAAGGTTTTTGAAAATGACAGATTTTTATATGGTTAGTATGATTAAGTGAAAAAAATATTATGACCCTCCCCTTTCAATATCTTGCCTTCAGTAGCCCATGCTTGTAGTGAGAGGCGAGTAACGGGATCGGGTGATCAGGCTCACTGACTTGGTTGACATACGTCATCATGTCCACTTGCTTAGATCGGTGCTCATGCTGTTAATCACTGGATTCTCTGGTCCAGACTCGATTATTTACAGACCACCGCCATACAGCTGGATTATTGCTGAGTGCGGTGTAAAACTAAACTCACTCACTCACTCACTCACTTGCCCCGTATCATCCCTCGTACCATATCTGACCTCGGCCTAAACACCTCAGTCACTGATATGGTCGTCTCAGGATGATTCGGGGCAAGATATGGAATAGGGAGGGTCATAATCCATACATATGTCACATTCACCTCATAATGGATTTGTTGCAGCTCTGGTATGAAATAGAGGTCACTAGCGGCCTCTTCATCATAAAGGGTGACAAAACGGATGGGTCAGGTTTAGTGACTTGGTTTCATGTCATCATATGTCAATATGGATTGGTGCTTTTGATGTCCATCACTGGATTGTCTGGACTTGCAATCATGACAAATTTAATGGATAACAACTTCTTTTATTTCATGAGTGCAACATTCTGATTTCATGTACAGCTGTCAAGCAGGGATCAAGAATCTGTATCTAAACATTGCACTCACGAAACAAAAGAAGTCCTTATCCATAAAATATGTCATTATTGCTCTTCCCAACTTCAACAAGAAGACAAAGTCATCAATATCCCCGCAAATGGCAAAATACTCTTCATGATTATGTCTACGAGTTATGATTATGTCAAATATTTAGGTGTGTATATAGAAAAGTGGAAGGAGAGTATTGAAAGGTTTTTAAAGTTCTGCTCCAGAAAGGAGCACTATCACCAATTTCAGTCTAAATCAAACTTGTTGCCATGGAAATGCCAAAAATATTTTATTCAGAATTCCAAAACTACCAAAAGGCACCAGTACACCACCAGACCAATCTATGTGCCAAGTTTGGTGAAGAAATAGTGAATGGTTTTAGAGTTCTGCTCCGGAAAAGAGCACTACCACCAATTTCAGTCTAAGTCAAACTTGTTGCCATGGAAACGCCAAAAATACTTTATTCAGAATTCTAAAACTACCAAAAGGCACCAGTACACCACCAGATCTATCTATGTGCCAAGTTTGGTGAAGAAATAGTGAACAGTTTTAGAGTTCAGCTCCGGAAAAGAGCACTACCACAATTTCAGGCTAAGTCAAACTTGTTGCCATGGAAACACCAAAAATATTTTATTCAGAATTCCAAAACTACCAAAAGGCACCAGTACACCACCAGATCTATCTATGTGCCAAGTTTGGTGAAGAAATAGTGAACAGTTTTAGAGTTCTGCTCCGGAAAAGAGCACAACCACCAATTTCAGTCTAAGTCAAACTTGTGGCCATGGAAACGCCAAAAATATTTTATTCAGAATTCCAAAACTACCAAAAGGCACCAGTACACCCCCAGATCTATCTATGTGCCAAGTTTGGTGAAGAAATAGTGAACGGTTTTAGAGTTCAGCTCCGGAAAAGAGCACTACCACAATTTCAGGCTAAGTCAAACTTGTTGCCATGGAAACGCCAAAAATACTTTATTCAGAATTCCAAAACTACCAAAAGGCACCATTACACCATCAGATCTATCTATGTGCCAAGTTTGGTGAAGAAATAGTGAACAGTTTTAGAGTTCTGCTCCGGAAAAGACAAATGTGCACGGACGGACGGACGGACGGATGGACGGACGCACGGAGTCCATATTAATACTAGGGCTGCAACGAATACACTATGTGGCGAATATGATACGTATCATGAATGTTGGGTAACGAATACGAATAATTATTCACGAATACAATATTGTAGTCAAGTGATTGATGTACAATATGGAATGCCCATGTTAACAGTTTTGATTTGTCACAGCAATAACCAGTGATCTCTTGACACTCTAATTTGGAATGTAATATTCATAGTCGACAATACCATGTGCGGCCTTGGCAAACTAACATGACTTGCGCTACTGCAATGCTAGTACATGTGCCATTCTTGCATATCTCACTTTCCAAAAGTACACAAGGGTTCAAGTAAAACATGCTCCCTTAAAAAAATCGTAAATATTCGTTAATATTCGGTTCTGGTAACCATGAATAACGAATTGAATTCATGAAGGGCTACAGTTCGATTCACCGAATATGCGAGTGAATCGTTACAGCCTTAATCAAAACCCCCCTCAAAACGCATTGCGGGGGATAAAAATGACTCTCAAAAAAGATATCTGGACTTGTGCCCTCCTAATGGTGTCTACCAAAGAGACCGTTCATAATTTATGGCTGGGGGTAGTGATGATGATTTTAAGGGGGTCACACATTTTGTTCTGGGAAGACAGGGGGCATTAATTTTGTACACACGGTCTAGGGGGCAGCTATTTTGTGCATTAAAATATATAAAAAATTATTGGAAGTAGGGGGGGTCATTAATTTTGTACATGACATGCACGGGGAGTCACTTTCTTTGGAAATAAATCTTAGGGTGGGTTCATTCACATTGTACATGCTTCTCCATAAAAATCATCATCACCCCCACTAGCCATAAATTATGAACGGTCCCTAATATCCCCAAAATAAACATAAAGACCTAATTTCATTGGCCTCCTGTCAAAACCCAAACAGGTGGGTACCTCACATTAAAGCCTAACTGTCTCAACCTCACATTGAAATCTGATTGTGCCTACCCCATGTCAAGACCCAGCGGGCACACAACGTTGAATCAACGTTGAATCAACGTTGAATTTTGGTTGTTTGGTTGATCAACCTTTCATAAACGTTGATTCAACGTTTATCATGCGACCAAAGAAAGTTAGTCGAGATTCGTTTAGTTGTCAACGTTGTTTCAACGTAAGGAACCAACAAAATGTCAACTAATTGTTTCCTTGGCAAATTTGATACATAATTCATATTGGTAATAGGTATCCAACTTAGCAACCATCATTTCGGAACATTATTTTCATAAAAGATCAAGATCGACCTAGTGACAGATATAATCTTATATATTATTTGATTGTGCATCGATCCACGGACGGAAATATTACGTAAATCGCAGTTTTAGGTATAAAGTCATCAGTTATCCAAATTGCATTACATTCGATATTTTCCCACAAAACTGTGAAAATTGTATAATTCCCGACAATTTGTTTCAAACACAAGCCAGATGTTGACCTTTCGATCGCCTCGTTTGGCCATATCCGGACATGCGCACAATTATCGCGCGCGCAAAGGCAGCTGATCGTTGTCAGTTCACTTTGGCGAAGTTCAACGCAATATCGTTCTATTTTCACCATCTTCACGGCATGCTGGTGTTTATTTGGTAAGTATGTCCTTCATGTATAATGAAAACGTAGGAATGCCGTTTAAATCTAGCAGTAGCAAGAAACTCCGAATTAGGGCTCATGTTTTATCTCACAAGGTTACCGGTATGTCACAGTACATGTTTCTCAAAATTTTGTTTTGTTATTTTTCAATATATTTGCATGCATATATAATTTATTATATAATCGAATAAGATTTCCTTTCGTACCCATCACCTGATTTGAATTTTGCAAATATACATTTTCAAATAATCAATGAAGTACATCAATATAAGGAACCGTTCATAATTAAATATATGGCTGCGGGTGGTGGTGTTGATTGTAAGGGTTGGAGGGTGGGGTGGGGTGTCACCCATTTTGTTCAGGGGAGCTAATGGGTCAGCATTTTTGTACACACGCACTATGTTTAGAAATTATGGGAAGGGGAGAGGGCGTCATAGATAATGTACATGACATGCAGGGTGGGCCGTCTCTTATTCTGTACATACTCATACACTTTTAGAGGGGGGGGACGGTGTAATTCACATTGTACATAAAAATCAACATCACCCCAAAGCCATACATTATGAACGGTCCCTAAGGGCAGCTATACAAAATCGGATAGGATTAATCAACATTTTATATTGCATCCCATTATTATGAACATTTGCCCTGAACCCTATCAACATATGTATATTATTGGGGGTGGGGGTGGAGAATGGCGTAAGGAAAAGCAACGAAAATTTTCACTTTAAAATGTCTTGTGAAAGTCTTTGTTAAGGATGAAATTGTATATGATTTATTTGAACTTTTATTTATTTACAAAAGTGTAACTTCACTAATGATTCTTTGATGGGACAATTAACAAAACTGCACCCACAGACTTTCATTCTTACACTTGTTTGGAAGGGATATGATAATTCATGTCTCTTAAAGGTTAAAATCTTACATACAAAAGAAGTAATTTTAATGTAAGGAACATTTAATTATGAAATAAGATTATTTTAATGGAATTTGCAGAAATCTCATCTTCAAGACTGGGTGGCAGCAATTTTGTGGATCACATAAAAGGAGCAAGGCTAAGGTAACACGTTTTTTAACATTTCACTTGTTTCCAGTATATCACCACAAAGTTTAAGAAAAGATGATAATGCTCTTTCAT